CCCATCACTATTTATTACTTCTCCCTATACTTTCATCTGTAACTGTAATGTATATGTATGTGTAACTGTATATTGTTTGTATGGTGCTACTAGAAATCGAATTTCCCAGAGGAACCTTCCCAAGGGATTAATAAAGTTTTCTACCTACCTATCTACCTGAACTGAAATTTGAAGTTTAGTGTATTTTGTGCTTGTTTCAACCACATTTACATAACTCCAAATCAATAGGATCAGAAAAAAATGGACAAAATAATACACATTTATCTAATTGTTTGTCCTACTGACATAATATACTGACTTTGTTGCGGCTGCAGCCATCAGGGACATAAACAGTCGCACTCAGACACAAGTACATACGCTACGCAGAACTTTTATTAAACAGACAGAGAACACAAAGAAACTAAAATCAGAATTCCTGGCAGAATATCCCTTTCTGGGCTGGTGGAGATGGCTCACAAGCAGCCCGTAAAATGAACCAGATGTTGTGAAAAGAAATATTAACGGGATCTGTTTCGATCTTGAAAATGTGAAATGAAGTGGTACAAGTCGGGCATCGACGTAAAATTTGCCATGAAGACATGCGGGGTACAGATAGGGCAGGTGGTATGGATCCAATAATATACAGCTGCAGCCGCCCTTCTCAGGCCCCGGCCTGCCGCTCTCACGCCAATATCTTGTGGAAAGACTCCGCAAAAGAGTGGCAGCTGTTATAGCTGCAAAGGGGGACCAACTCCATACTGAGGCCTATGGATTTAGAATGGGGTGGTGCAGTGGTTAGTACTGCTGCCTCACGTGGCTGGGACTTGGGTTCAAGTGTCCATCAAGGTTCCATGTGTGTGGAGTTTGCATGTTCTCCCATGTTGTTGTGGGGTTTCCTCTGGGTACTCTGGTTTCCCCCCACTGTCCAAAAACATGCTGAGGCTAACTGGAGTTACCAAATTACCCATAGGTGAGTGTGAGTGAATGGTGTGTGTGTGTGCCCTGTGATGGGTTGGCACCCCATCCTGGGTTTTTCCCCACTTGGTGCCCATAGGTTCCAGATCCCCCTGCAACCCTGAATAGGACAAGCAGTTTCAGAAGATTGAAAGATGGATGGATTTAGAATGGGATGTCAATAGTTCTGGTAGTGTAATGGCCAGGTGTCCCAATGCATTTGTAGGCTTGCATGCAGCTGCTGGGCCATGGAAGTCCATTCCATGAAGCACCTGGCACACGGTTTTGTGCTGGAGTTAATGCCACAGAAAATTTGGAACTCTGCAGTTATTGAGTCAACAGAGACTTTTACACACTATGCATCTCAGCACTCGGCGACCCCGCTCTGTTACTTCCCATGGTCTGCTACTTCATGGCTGAGTTTCTGCTGTTTCTAAACACCTCCACTTTGCAATAACACCACTTACAGTTAACCGTGGAATTTCTAACAGGGAAAAAAATTAACAATCTGACTTTTTGCACAAGTGGCATCCTATGACAGTATACCACGCCTGAATTCACTGAGCTCTTCAGAATGATCCATTCTGTCACAAATGTTTGTAAACCTGACTGAATGACTAGGTGCTTGATTTTACACACCTGAATTCAATGATTAAGAGGTATATATAGACACACACACACACACATAGAGTATTTAAAGAATATACTTACTTATCCAAAAATCATAATATCTCTTTTTAGCAGCAGCAGTCACAACAACTGAAACAGAGTAAAAACATTGTTAGTCATTAAATTTGCATCAAACACATACAAAGATGTGCTCAGTAGTCTTGTGCTTAAGACCCTGCACAGCACTGTCACATGTGGCCTGTACTACGAAGGGGGTTTAACCAAATCAGATTTAACCTGGAGGTAATTTGCGAATGCGGGGTTGACAAAATCAGGTGGTCTCAATCGGTGTAAATTAGTACTACGACGCTAGTTAAGAAGTTGATTTGTTATTTTTCCGCTTCAAAACATTTCGTGATTTGTGCAAAATCGTGTTAATAGCTAATATAATAGGTCCTCTCAGCTGTAATGACATGGTGGTTTAGTATTTTGGACTCATGGCGACTGCTGCACACCCCTTTGTTTCCCAGATTGCTTTACATACGAATTTTAATTAATTTTTGTATGTTCAAATGTGTCCGTATAATGTGACCAATGAGACAATACATGAATGGGTTAATAACTTTAAAACTAGACAAGACACATCTAGTGAAGTGTGCTTTGATCAGTGGACAACAGGGAACAATGCACACCCCTTGGGTTTTCAGAATAACTTTCAGTTATTCATTAATACATTGTATGCATATTATATGCCATTGCTCCATTTCATATATATTGACACAGAGAGCCCCTCACAATTCGCGCGCTAATGTCGTATGGATCATCCAGGTACGCCGGCATTGTCTTTGGAGAAACTGTAGTTGGAGGGGCGGTGCTCATATAGGGCTGGCTTACGCAAAAACCTCAACTTAACCAAGAACAAAAACTGCTCGGAGCAGGTTTGAGACTTAGCGTAAATTGCCATAGCAGTATGCCTCGAGTAAAACCTACCCACCTTTCGTAGTTAGTTCGGTTAATTGCGAAGTTACACGACACATCATCAAGTTACTCGCAAAGTTACCCCGATAAGCCAGTAACCCCACTTCGTAGTACAGGCCACTGATGGTTGTTGGTTAGAATTCTATGTAGGACATTGTGTAGGACACAATTTTCTAGTTTAAAAGGCAGATTAATATGTGTTAAAGGTGTTTGGGTTGGACATTATAAAATATGTAAATTAATAATGGAATTAGATATTACAAGTATAATGCAAATAGTCCACCTTCATGATTTGGCATTCTATTACATACATTATGACTTGAAACAGTCACTCACTATTCTGAAATATTAATGGCTGAAATACACTAAAATGTTACAGCTGGGAAATGTGGAAAGATGAGCTATACTGTCCACTGTCTCGTCTATCAAACAAGGGACTTTTGCCTACGTTAAAAAAAAAAAACACCAACACGCAAGAAATAAAAGGAACCACAAGGGGTTAAAAACAAAGCAAGTGACAAAAACTAAGACAGGGAGCAACACGGGAACAACCATAGCATTCAAATTTTCATCCTTGCTGTTTAAATCACTCATTAATAGACATGTTTTTTAGAAATCGATTTACTTTGAACTAATCTTTTCTTTACAGATATTGTGTTAGTTGCGGTAAGGTTTAGAGGTCTTACGTTCTGTAACCTTTGTTACGTGCCATAAGGTTTAGCGGCGTTATATGTTTTGCTTTTTGTATGTTTGTTTAGGAAGGTAGAGCAAGTGATTGTCTTTTGTTTCTTTTGTTTTCTGTTAGGGAAGTTAGCATGGGGTCACTTCGTTAGACTGTTTTGTTTGTTGTGTTGGCCTGGGTCACTCCTGAAGTCTGTATATAGACTGTGGTGACCCATCTTGTAAATGCAGACTCTTTGTTTGCTACTAGCCTGTTTTGTGTCCCGTGCCCTTTTCGTTCCCCACAACACACACACCCATTTAGTTACTCCCCAACCCTCTACACACTGGGGTACATAACAACTGCAATACTTATCACAGAAATGGATTTTTTTTTCAATGTTGTGCAGCCTAATTATGAAATACTAACTACAAGGAGATATCTAACAACATAATTCACGATGAGGGAGCGAGCTGATAAGTGGCATAGCAAAGTTCCAATTAGATGTGGAGCAGTGGATAGCATATAGAGAATGCTGCAGCAATATTACAAAATTAGCAACTCGATCACTTTGGAGGCAATGACTGTACAACATTACACATCTCAGCCTCATACTGGAAACGAAGGAGTCAACCAAGATGGTTTTCTCACATTGCCCCCTGGTGGACATGACCTTTAATCCTTTAGGTAGACGTAAACTACTCGGGGAAAATATAGTCAATACACTGCTTGCGTAGTATGGAACGCCAAAAGACGTGAATTTCAATGCATAGAACACATGTATAATAAATGTTAACAACACACAGTATTTTACATGTATTCTAGACGTATTCTGGTCAGGTCAGGTTGGGGAGCATGCGGTGTGGCAGCATTTTAGCTTTCCGGTAACCACAAACGAAAACGGCGAGAAAAGCACAGAAAAGACAAAAACTGCGTGCAAACATTGTAAAAGACTAACAATTTCGTTCTACTATGCACTCTCGAATTGTATGGTCTGAAGGACAATAAAGTTTACTTTGACTTTGACTTGACTTGATAACATACACAAATAGCACAATGAACATGCTTCAGCATGTCCACCGGCACCAGTGAGCTCAATTCACCACCGCCAAAGTGAAGATTATTAAAAGGGCAAACCATGCTAAATAGCTGCACATGCAATCCTTAGTTTATTTGGTAACGCTTTATATTAAGTGCGCCTTCATAATGCATTCATTATGCATTTATAGAACATTCAGTGCACCTTCATAATGCATTCATATAACATTCATAAGCAGCATGCAAGTACACTTTAACATCCTAATATCCCTTAACAGCTTATATACATTAATAACAAACATTACATGATTATACAATTATAATGTTTATTATTATTATATAATGTTTGTTATTAACATATATTACAGCTGTTAAGGAATGTTAGGATGTAAAGCATGTATACATGCATGATGTTTATGAATGACTTCTGAATACTTAATGAATACATTATGAAGGTGTACTGAACGTTTTATGAATGCAATATAAAAGCATTATGAAGGTGCAGTTAATGTAAAATGTTACCGTTTATTTTTTTAATTTATTTTGATTTGAAATTTTTTTTAAAACAGTATTTTATTCAATTTCAGTTGCACTGTTAAGAAGAGGACACGTTTTGCACAGTTTAGAAAGATAAATGAAGGAATATTTTTAAATAAATTTGTCTGCAGCTCATTCTGTTAAAAAATCGTGAGAAAATCGTATCGTGAATCATATCGAATCGTGACTTGAGTGTATCGTTACATCCCTCAAATCAAAGATTGCCTGCAATGCCAGGAGGACAGCCTTACCACCAGCCTGGGGAAGTTCTCCCCGGATACCACAGATCCCTACGGCCTTCCCTACCCCCAGCTGATTCACCACCCGTGCAATCTCAGTGAGACTGGGTGGTTCACAGCTGACTGGAGGATCAGCCTCAAGAACCGTGGACCCAGAGATCTCCAATGTCCTAGCTGGAGCACCAGCCTTAAACAACTGGTCAAAGTAGCCGGCCCAGCGGGTCACAACTGCAATGTCATCCATAAGGACCGTTCCATCACCCACCCTGACTGCAAGTTTCTGAAGAACAGATTCGAATGTGCGTAATGCTTCGATTCCTCTGTAAGCAGGACGTGGGCTCAGAGCCCTCACAGCCGTCCTCCTCAGTTCCCAGTACAGACTGGAGTTGCCATCAAGTGTTGGGCTGCGATAATATCCTTTCGCAAAGTCAAGTAACATGAAGCCACTCTCACACCGGTCTCCAGACTCATGGGGACCGATACAATCCTCATAGCCACCTCTGTCAGTACACACAGAGGAGTGTCACCTCGCAGGCACCCATCAACCACCGAGCGAAGTTGTGAATAAAATATCTCCCTCAACAAGACATCACTCACCGCAGTCAGACCATACACTGAGACAAAAAGACAAGACATTCAACGAGTGCCTGAGCCTGGGTCATCAGGAGGAGCCGATCCACTACAGCAACGGCTACTCCCTGAGAACAGCAGCTATCAAACCGACCAGACCAAAAGTACGTATACCCACCTACAGAGATCTGGCCGCTCCCTGGTCTGTATACCTCAGAGAGTGCTGACACTGAAATGCGGAGTTTATGAAGCTTCCCCGACAGCAGAGAAAGATGGTCATCTTGCCAGAGAGACAAGACGTTCTATGCCACTACCCAGATGGACTGCCTCAAACTGGGACCCAAGTGCCACTATGCAGCAGGCGGTGCCTCAGCATCACACCAGCCCCGATGCCCAACAGACCTGGTACTATTAGCTGTCCGACAGTTTCGACTGGTCCGGGGATGAGGATCCTGAAGACTTTCCCCCATCCCCTTCATGGTGCATGCAGCCTTCCTGTGGGAGGCTGCAGCAGAGCTACTCCCACGGAAAGCAGAAGAGTATCGTGCTTGTTTAATTAAATCAAGCAGTTGTGAGTTGTTTTATGGTGGCTGGAGTGCCAATCCTGCCAACAACGCCCCAAAAAAATTTTTCCCTGCAAGTTGGAGTACTGTTGCAGGGCCGGATGCAGTTTAATGTCATACGCAGGACATATACAGTACAGTACTGCACATAAAATATAGCTTCTTTTAGTTTCTCTGCTGCACCTCTTTGGATCATTTTTGGCAGTTTATCATAAGCTTTTATAAGTAGACACGTCCTGCACATTCTCCACTTAACGTCAGTGGCTCAGCTGTGGAGATTGCGGAGAGCACCAAGTTCCTTGGGGTGCACATCACCAAGAAACTTACATAGACGACCAACACCATCTCCCTAACCAAGAAAGCCCAGCAGAGACTACACTTCCTGCGGCGGCTGAAATGAGCGAGCCTTCCCCTCCCATCCTCACTACGTTCTATAGAAGCACCATTGAGAGCGTTCTAACCAGCTGCATCACCGTCTGGTACGGAAACAGCCGAGAATATCATCGGGGTGCCTCTCCCATCACTACAATACACATTCACCACAAGAACAGTTCGAAAAGCCTG